AATTTCAGAATCAATGTAATTTTGATTAATTATTAGTGTTTGTTTCATAGATTTATTTTCATCAGGGTTTGTTTCGTTTGATGCAGTAGTTTGTTCATTATCATCTTCGTTATCAGCAGCATCAATGGTTTTGGATTGTGTAGCATCTGTATTCTCTAAAAATAAGGCAAAAAAATATGAGTAAATGTATTCAACAATAGTCATATTTCCGCTTCAACTCTTCGATCCGTTCCATCTATTTTGAGATACTCGAAATAATATTCTATATAAACAGTAAAATTTTCTAATATTTATTTTCCTTGAATCTTTTTTTCCAGACAGTCGCTCAGTTCCATTAAAATACTTATTATTGATCATCAGCATGACTTATATTATTGCCATGCTGCAACCAGTGAGTAAATATGATTCGTGTAGATATGCGTAGGTATGAAGTACCTCAGTGTCCCTATTCCAATTGAAATCCACTCGATTGTTTCAAACTTAGAATCGATTTTCCGCTATTTCTACCGAGGAACCGAACAAAGATCAAGATAAATCGATACCACTAGTTATAACAATATTTAGATTGGATTGCTTGAGCAGTTATATTTGAAAAAGGATAAAAATAGTGAATAACATGACATCGTGTTAGAGTAATGTGACAGTTTAAATACTAAAGATAATCCATTTATTGGATCCAATCAAACTTTGTCGTCAAAAACGAAAAGTTTAAAGTTAAACTCGCAATCGGTTTTTTCAAGGCCAATCAAGGATTTTGTAGTTGTAGGAAGGACTTAGCTTTTACATATCGTTCATTAAAGTTCAATGCAGTAATAAAATTACTAAATTAAAGTTAAATACCATTTTATAGATCTCGGAATGATGTTATTACTGGAAACTTTCTAAAAGATTCACAGCGCATCTCTTACAGTACGGGCTTTGATCTATAGAATCGAAAGGCTTTATTCCAATACGTCTTTCATTGCGTTATGGATTTTCTTATAGCAACGATTACCAATTATAAAACATTTTAAGGTACGATTATTTTTGATGTCTACTATTAATATTTCAACAAGAAACGCTTCGCGTAAGTCTACGCTCATTATCAATGACGTTTTAACGGGATATCGCAGTTTCATTAAAAAAACTCTCATTAAAAGGAAGTTGATTAAAATTTTTAATGAAATTCGTGTGCCATCAAAAGATTTTAATGAAACTCCTGCTAAACATTTTTTAATGAAAGTATCGGAACTTTCATTAAAAAAAAACGCTTTAATGAAAGTTTTTTAATGAAGGTCACCCAGTCCGTTCTAACCTGACATAGAGTACCACACTCATTGCTCAATAATATAGCTGCGTTTCAAAAAGTATGCTTTATGTTATGTTTATATTTTGGACAAAAAGAATTTGCAGTCATGCCACTTATTTCAAAGTGAAGCACTCAAATATCTTTTGAACGATCAATATTCGGATAATAGTGGAATTAAGACGAGTCGATTAGTTATCATTCTTGGGATTAAGGGAAGATTTTAATGTATTATACTGTATAATACCTCGAAAGCTTTCTTCTTTTTCCGTCTCATCGGTGGTTATTCCTGTAGATTGAACAACATTTTCATTTTCGCTTGAACTTCGACTCGTTCGCGGTGTTGCAATTGACTCGTTATCACCATCGTTTTTATCTCGATGATTGTCATTGCTTACATCAGAATCAGTTGTTTCAATATCACTTGTTGCAACTTGTGGGTCACTATTGTTCGGCTCACTGTTATCCAAATCGGCCATAGTATTTCTCGTATCGAGTGCTTGTTAATTTTAGTGCAGTTAAAACTGTAATTACATGGTCTAAAAGAAAAGCAAATGCTCATACAAGAGTCAAAAAGTGAAATGATTGATATAAATTATGGCATTGCGATACATTATTTCTCCATCTCCGTATTTCGTTGTAGTATGTGTCGAACGCAATTGAAACATCAACGAAAATAAACATCTTATGATAAACAACATAGTCACCTTAGCACTGCTGAACACAATTTGACGGACTATGAATGGTATAGTCTCAAAATTTGAAAAACAAAACCGGAATATACTTCTTTTAAGAGAAATAGTACAATTCAAATAAAATAATATTTCTCACAAACATCTATTTCTTTTTTCTAATAACAAAACAAAAAAAAGAAGTATCATGTAGTTTCTTATCATCTGAAGAAATGAAGGAAAGATAATAGGTAAGTAAAGTGGTCGATTATAGAATTGTGATGAGTAGAAGAATATTACTAAAATAGTCGTTTTGTGATGAAGCAAAATTTTCTCTTTTTGTAAACGAACGGCCAGCTAGCAAGATTAACTATCTTAATTTTACTTGAAGAAATAAATTTCTTGAGTTGTCATTTAGATATTCAAGTCATTTATATGGTAATTTGGTAAATGATTATCATCAACTAGTGAAAACATGGGCTAACTTACTGAACAAAAAGCAGTGATCACACAAAGTCATGTGTGTCAATTACGGTCATCAGTGGGTTGTTTGTTTCACGCGTAATTTTTCGCTTGTGAATTTTGTTAAGCATGAAAACACAATCTTTTCTTTCTCTGCTTTTCTTTTGCTGTTTGTTTGTCCAACGGTCAATTTCTTTATACAACCGATGAGAATCAATTCAACAGACTTTATAGTATTCACATCAGAGGTGGGCGATGGACGAGTATCCTCGCGACGTCCCGCGATTCTTCCCGGAGCGGACCCTGCGAGAAACATTTTTTGAAAGGTTGACGAGGCATGAGGCGATGACGAAGCAAGAATTTCACAACACGAATCCCGCAAAGGACATTTTTTCTTGTGAGCGAACGATGTTATATTTATTTTGACCTATTTCGACAATAAAGGTGATGATTCGTCTTGTGAACCAAGATGAAACAATGAATAGCTTACGTTAGCAGAGATTTTCTGGACTCACGAGGATCGATAACGAAGTGCCAGAAGAAAATTTTATCAAGACTTGACGGTGGATGAGGCGGCGACGGAGCAGAAAGCTTACGAGGCGATCTCCGCGAAGTACATTTATCGAAACTTGGCGAGGTACGGGGCGATGACGAGGCATGAAGCTTGCGAGGCGATCCCCGCCAGGGAACTAAAGATAGTCCATCGTCCACCTCTAATTCACATGATAGATCACGCTCAGTATTGTCAAAGAGTTGACATTCATGCATAAAAAAAGTATCAAGCTATTTAATTATAAAATTAATATTTTTCCCACTCTCTAGTCATAAAAATGAAATATATGCCTTTTGGACTTGGTTCGTTGATTTCCGAGTCCCAAAACATTTTTTGACTGATTTGGACACGGCAATTAGCCAAAGTGGGCACGGTTTCAAATAAACAGGAAAACGAATTAAAAATGAATACTTTGGATACGGGTTTTCTATTTAAAACTCGGGAATACAGCAAATTTGTGTCCCCACGTCTTCACGCCAGAAACCGTTATGAAACGTTTTTGAATGTATTTGTTGTCTCTGGAATTTAGAAACAAGAGAAAAGAAGTAACATTTAGCATGCCAGAGCTGTTTTTGCTTTCTTTGGGCGTCTTCGATGGCGTTTTCCTAAATCTTGTAGCCATGAAGGATCTGACACTGTGTAATAGCCAAAATGTTTCATAAGCCCCACTCCATGTTTACAGACGTGTTCTTTCAAATTTGTATTGATTGTAGGCATCTTTTTCATCAGATAGGCTGACGGTCGGAAAGGTTCGAAAGCCGCGTTGGACTGATTTTTGTGACTAATCGATAAGCATCTGTTCAACTGTTGGTAGAAAAACAGGCAGGACTAATTTGTTTCTGAATGTATAGTTCGATTTTATCTTTCCATTGAAGGATTTAAGGCCGTTGATCGTCGATGACACACATATGACAGCTCCTTCGAACCAGAAATATAATTCGGCCACCCATTGTGTTTCAAAATAGTTTGCAAATGCGATGAGTTCAGATTTCTGCTTCTATTTTGTTCACAGTAGACATGAGGGAGTCCAGAAAACAGCATCTGAAAGGACAGCTGAATACTGATGATGTCATGTTCGATGGCTGACAATTGCGCAGTTGGAACCATTTTTCGATGATTTCTGCACTTTTTAATCACGTGAAACCAGCATATTAACCGTCAAGCATGCAAAAACTCTGTTTTTATTCGTACTAAAAAATATCTTCGTCTTTCGTTAATTCCTTTCGGCTAACCCCTGTGCCCAAATTGGTCAAAACATTGTTTTGAGCACGAAAATCAGCGAATCGTGTCCCGAACCGACTTTATCCGTGTCCAAAAAAATCTTTCTTCCATAAATATCGGTTTAATTAGCTAATCCAGTGTTAAATTACTGAAAATGGTGAAAATATATATCTAAGTCTAAGTTGACTTTTTTCATCAATTTATATATTACTTTTACTTCATTTATTAAATAAGAAAAATGATTGAATGGGAAAATGTTGAATAAAACGTGCCAAAAAGTTTTTTATTAAAAAGACAGTCGATAGTTTAAAAAAAGATCATCATCCACTATCTGGAATAAAAAAAATGTAAACTTTCATGTTTTTTTTTGGCTAAATATTCTCATTATTGGCTACTGTGTAGCAGTATCCTGATTGATATCCACAAAAATCTAAGATTTTTTTGTTAATTACGCGTGAAACATAGGTACGAATGAGTGTATAACTGAGGGTAAGCAAATTTTCGATTTAACTATTTTATTTAATTGTGTGGATTTTTTCGTAAACGCTAATTAGAGTTTGACTAATTCACGAGTGAAAACAAAAATTCTCGTGTGCTTTTTTCGAATGCTTGCGTGATCATATCTGTTTTTTAATGAGAAGGCAATGAAAAACTGAAAACGCTTTATAGAAGAAAGTTATCTGTATTGAATTTTTTGTTTGTTTTTTGAAATTAATGCTCTAATATAGACAGTTACTTAGGACAAATCATCAATCAAAAAAGATGAAAATTAAAAAAATATAAGGTGAGTTTTGATTCACGCGTATATCCATCTTTGATAGACAAACACAATATTCTATTGAAATAGTTTTTCTACAATTTTATTTTTTTTTTCTACATTATCGAAAATTTGAACTTTTCATTGTTCAACAGTCTGTGTTCTTGAAAAAATATTTCTTAAAATTTGTTGTCATAATTTTAAGCTTTTTTCACAAAAAGATTATAAGTCGAATGTAAGAGATATACAAGAAATTTTATTTTTTTGATCAAAGAAGTTGTACTAGATGTTACTAAGTGCTTAGGACAAATACGAATTATTTGAGGATCAATTTAGACATTCAAGAAGTACTGAAATCCCGAAATAAATTAAAACTATTAAAATTTTAAAAATATTGATCAGTTTTATTATACAATGTAAATTATAAGATAAACATTTTGTATTATTTACTTAAAAATTTAAACAACTAACGAAATAAGAACAATAAATGGCCTCTAAAAAAAGTAAAAATAAAACGTTTTTAATGTACAGCAACAAGTGCTTCTATAAATTGACAGTTAAAATATACAAATGTCAAAAAATAGAAACAAGAATATATTTGTACTGTCATTTTTACATTGTTTCTAATCGAACGTAAACTATTTTTCAAATGTCTATCTTTAAACGCCAGCATAGCAATGAAAATATATCAGATATAGGTTTATTTCAACGTTTATAAAATCTTTAATGATCATTCTAATACTAAATACATTTTTCTCTAGGTACACAAATAAAAATACCAAAACCTGCTAATCGACTAAGATTATTGATTGAACAAGAAAATAATAATTCGGGAAAACGATTACATTTAAAAGGTAGTCTCTCATTCATATCTTCTATTAGTATTTTATTTATATCGAATTTTCTCATACCCGTTAAACAAATCTATTATGATTTTACTGATATTATTCTTTCTTGTAGGTCGTGATACATATCCAATTTCAAATGATTTATATGAATTAACCGATTTAGAAATTCTTGATTTAACACCTGAATATAAATCGGGCATGGCTTTTACAATTTCAAAAGTACCGCCTGAATTTCAATGTTTGAAAAATTTAAAAATTCTTCATTTAGACAATAGAGAATCATTCATTAATAACATCCTAAATTTTATCCTTTATTTTTATTCTATACGTACTATTCATATTTATTCAAACATCGTTAATGATTGATCAAAAATAATATTACATCTTTACCTAAAGAAATTGGTGAATTACATAATCTAGAACGATTTACAATTAGTAATAATCATTTAAGAACATTACCAAATGAA